TCAGTAAAACTAAGGAAAAGGGGCTAAAATTGAAACATTAAAAAAATCCAAATAAATTTTAGATGGAAAACAACCACAGTAAAGAGAAACAACAACAAAAAGTTTAGCTATAAGTCATCCATCATTCCTACCTGACTAAGCCAACTGTACATCACCTGGAGTTCAAGGTCCTGAAGGTACATTGCAGAAGTGGATGTGACTTTAGGTATTCTCTGTTAGGGAAGAGTGGTACAGTGTATGAATTTTATGTAAGCATATGTATTTTAAAAAGTGTATGTATGGGAAACATATTGGTATCTAAAAGAATTTTAAAAAAACATACTTTCCTTCCCAGCATTGATTTTTCCCATATTCTAGTTATATCACTTACTATCAGAAGTATCCCAGATCTTGCCACTTTCAGTGGTAATTATTTCTTATGCAGTTATCCTATCCCCAGGAGCTAAACATGACAGGAAATAAGGTTTGGGTCTGCTAACTTGCCATCATGTACAGCATGATAATGGCTAGCATCAAAGACATGTCTCAGAGATAAAGAAAATGCTGCCATGACATTGACTGAGACAAAAATCCTTCCAATAAATTCCTTTTGCATGTTTAAGCCAGTTTGAGTTAGGTATTATCACATGCAACTAAAGGAGCCCTAATTAATTTGCTGCAAAATTGTGGTTTAAAACAACATTCTGCTCACTGCTCTTTGCATAAATTTCCTCATATTTTAAATACTTAAAAAATTTGTATCAGCAAAGTATATCTGTAGAAGAATTATCATGCTTCCTCTCATGTAATTATCATTTAATCTGTTGAGTTTATCGTTATACTTTTCCTATCAGGAAACTTGTAGCTAAATTTAATGTTCAAATAAATTATCTGCTAGCCCTGGCTATTGGCATATTTTTGTATTTATTTTCATAGTCTTTTGTGTTTGACTTTTATCAACATTACTATACATGTCTGTTGCTATAAACAATCTTGAAACTTTTAAGAAAGTGAGTAAATTACATTAATAGTGTCTGGCAGAGAAACACAATACAAACTTGTTGACTATAAAAAGACATCCATTAAAATAGTTTTTTCAGAAATTGAATGATTAGATGTCAAATATGATGGCTTAGTTTAAAGGATTTTATAAACAAAAATGTAAAATAACTATATTCAGAAAATATATCAAGTATACCAGAATGTTTTGAATCATAAAGACAGAATGGTGCGGCCTGAGGCCTAACTTACACAGATTCAGGCAGGTTGGGCAGAAGTAAAAGGGAAGTACAGAACTAGATGGGAAGATTGCCTCATGGTTGACTAAAGCTAGTTCTAGGTTCTAGAAGAAGCCAATAGCAAAAGTACTTGTAGAAATGGGTCCCTAAAATTTTTATTGAAATATCTCTTCATGTAAATATGACACTGGGGGAATCATGAGAAAAACAAATTATGGTTTCTCCTATATGTTTCTCCCTACCGTCCATGAAACCTATGTAGATTAAACCATGTTTAGCCTAAATTATTCCAGGTACCCATTGACTAAAAATGGATTCTCTATTTTGTTAGCAATGATGACAGAACAATGGCAGAATGAAGTAATTTAGTGGGAATAAGTTTCTTAAAGTATTATAATGTGGAAAAGTGATCAGGTAATTTACTGATTGGAATGGGAAATGGGAAGCATGAAAGCAAAAACAGAAAATACATTAAAAAGAAATGCCCAATAGGGAAGTAATTTTTATAGACTTCCCAAAGTTGGCCTAGAATCTTCTTTCTGTTTACAAAGTTGGGAAAACAAAACAAATACAAAAGAGGAGGAGGATGAGAAAGAGGGAGAGGACAAGGGTTACAAGAAGATATTGATACCAGGCTCCAAAAGCATTTCTGAATCATATACACGAAGCTTCTATGTATATGTTATGATTTTGATCTAACAAGTTCCAAAAATTTCTCATATGTGTGGAAGGTGATTGCAACATAGGTCACTATTTTCATTTTTTTAATTCATCTATTGATGAGTTCAGTGGTAGCTGGATATGCTGTTATGAGGTGGTGCATGGTTGGAGGTGGATCACTGAGGGTGTGAACTTCCAGGCTGTACTCTTGTCCATAGCTCCACCCTTCTTTGCTTCCTGGTTGCAATGGTTTGAGGACTTTTCCCTCTGACATTCCATTCTGCTATTATAGTTCTGCCTTGGATCCTGCTGACCACGTATTTGAATCATAAGCAATAATCCTCTTTTCCTTTAAGCTGTGGGTACCAGGTATTATTGTGTCTCACTGATGGGAAAATTACTAAGACAGATATTGATGTCAGAAGTGGGATTTCTGTGAATGTAACTGACCATGTGGTTCAGAAGCCCATGGAAGTAGTTTGTGGAAGGAGTTTGGAAAGGCTTGAAGATGCCAGTTGGAGAAGCTCAAGAATGATGTAAACTGAGCTGGATGGGAGATTTTGGTCAAAGCTCATATGAACAGCACATTGATAGGAATGCAGACATTAAAGGCTAGATTTAGGAGGTATCAGTTGTTAATAAGGATTTAATTGGCAGGTGGACTAGAGACCATGTATGTTATATTCTGGCAGAAAATTTTCCATTTTTCCTGTATACCCAGACATTGGAAGAAACTGAAATTAAAAGCAGCAGACTAAGTAATCTTGTGGAGGAAATTTCAAAGCAGGACAATGTAAAGAGTATGGTATGGGTACTGCTGGTTGCTTTTAGCTAGATCTGCAGGAGCAAAATTGAGATCTGAAAAGTTTGCATTTTTATCAGATAGGAAGGCCCTAAAAGTTGGGAGAATGGAAAGCATGGCTGATGAAAAGACTAATATTAAAAAGATACCAAGGGTGTTGGATCAGAATAATAGTAAAGATGGCTTGAGGGCATCTCAGGAACCAGCAAGACCTCAACCCTTGTAGAGTCAAGGGTGAAAATTTGTAGTTTTCATTAGAAAAGAGCCCACAGGCCCCTTGCTGAGAACTCCCTAGGGAACTGGTTCACTGAGATTCATTTCACAGTGCTCAGACATCCAGGCACTCAAGCGACCTCTGTGGCCATGGCCCAGAACTTAATATCATCCATTTGGTGGTGGTTTTATATGCATGCAGAATGCAAGTGTGAGGTCAGTGAAGCTTCCACCCAGATTTCAAAGGAAGGTTTGGAAGGCCATGCAGTATGCCCCTTTGAAGGCAATCTGAAAAGCTGTAAGAGTGAAGCCCAAAGTCCAGAGGAAAATACACGAAGTTGGAGATGGCAGGAATTTGGAGCATCTTCTAGGATGATTCATAGGCAGTGAACAGATATACCCAATGAGAGAGTTCACGAAGCCAATACCAGGCAAAATGCCACAGGTTCGGAGCTTCCCAAGCCCTTTGGAGCTCACATCTCATCCCAACCTGCCTTGGCTGCTGGACATGGAACTACAAGATTTGTTTCCCCTGCTCTGATGATTCTTTTTTAATCCTCTTATTCATTCCATTTGGAATGGGAATGATTACCCTGTGCCACTTTCTTTTGGGTTTTCATAGGCCCTTGATTCTCAGAGATGACTGTGGACTTCAATTTTTCAGCAATGTTGGAACTGCGAAGAAATTTTCTACTCTTAGAAATGAAGAAGTGCATATTATATGAAATGAAAATCAGTCTTTTGAGGACAAGGAGGGTGGAATGTTGTGGTTTAGATCTAAAATGTCCCCTGAAATTGTGTGCTTCATGGGTGGTTGGATCATGGTGGGTGCTGTACTAATCAGTGTATTCATCCAAAGATGAACTGAGTAGTTATGTATGCTGTTAGGAGGTGAGCCCTGGATGGAGGTGGGTCACTGTGGGTGTGACCTAAAAACATTATTCTTGTTCTCGGCTCCTCCCTTGTCTTTGTGCTACCTGGTTCTCATTGGTTGAGAACCTCTTCCTCAACCATGACAATCTGCAATCTTGTTCGTGGTGCCTTGAAGCAGCTGACCTTGACTGACAGTATGAACCAAGATAAACTTTTTTAAGTTGTGGGTTTCAGGTATTGTGTTCCAATGACAGGAATGTGACTAAAACAGCATGTAAAACTGTAATAATTTAGCATGGCCTACAAATGTGTAAGTTATTTTTTTGCTAAATGTCTGTTATTCTACTTGATTCAAAGGTTAAAAGAATTCTGCCAGTGATTACAGACTAAGGTTTTAGTTTGTCCTTACTGCCGAAAAAATTGTCAACTAACTTTCAGATTGAAGCATTTTTCTGATAAGTTCTAATTATGGTACATTTGCATGCTAATTTTCTTGGACTCCATTGTCCTATATGTTTAGAAAAGTAATTTTAAAGTGGTATTACAATTGAGAAAATATCAAGGTATACACATAACCTAGCAGTATCCTAAAGCACTTGTTATGTTTGGTCCCTGAACAATGTATATAACTTTTCATGAATTCTGCAATTAGCTGAATTTAATAGAAGCAGACATCCACAAATGATCTATATCCATAAATGATCAAGGAAGATCAGGTATAAAATGTTAGAAATTTGCAGCCTTTTTATTTAGAATCCAGAGAATGCCGGTATAATATAACATGGTATCTTGAGAATTGTTGCTCACAGAGTTTTAACAAGAACAAAAATAAATATAATATTATGTCATCTTTGGCATGTTGTAAATTCAAAATCATAACCATTACCTTAGCAGCACTGTGAAGTAAGAAAACACTAAAATGCACTACTAGATTTGGTCTCATATGACAAAAAATGGAGTACAGTGAATAAAAACTTCAAAGTTAAAAGGAACCATGCTTTAAAGAAAATAATTGTAAAATAAATAATGGTATAACATCAGTAATATATTCAAATTAAGAAAATACAGTTATCTGAACATTGGGGAAAATTTTGTTCAATTGCAGCTTTTGCATTTTAAGTATACCACTAATTAAATGTACACACAACTTCTATTTACATTATTTCTGTCTTGAGAAATACAGTGGAATATAAGTGAATATAATACTTCTATATTAGAAAATATAGGAACTCAAGAGTGCTTGGAAGTATTGGCAAACCAATTTTTTAAAATGTGGCTATAGTAATCTATGCTCTTTTCATAAACCCTATGTAATTCACAGCTGCTGGTATTTTTCCTATTTTAAAACCTCGAACACAGCAAAACCACATTTTTCCTTTTTTGTGCTATGGATTTTAATGCAAGATAAATTTTCATTTCCAAACCTTTCTGGTATTTGGATATTTAAGACTTTTTGTATAGCATTAAAAGTGATGTTTCTTTTAGACTGCTTTCCCATGTTTAAAAATAATTCTATCGCCCTAAAAAAATAAAACAAAAACAAAAACAAAAAAGAAAAAACCCTAAAGAGTCTCCTGTAAGTCCTATCAATTTCAGAAACAACAAATTTGAAGACAAATCAAATGTGACCACAGCAGTATTAGTCAACAGAGAAAAGGAAATAATCCAATTGGTCACACAAAGTCAGTTATTAAGAAACTGATGCACTTAATACATATATTTTCTAGAAATGTTCCACATAAAATTAGATGTTTAATACAAATCTTTTGAAGATTAAACTAGTTATCATAACTAGACAAGTAGAATGAAGCAAAACAGTAATGCAAAAAAGTACTTTATCAAAGGTTTAGAAATGTAAACAGAACAAATCCTAACTTTGCTAGCCCATAATTGAATGGTACATAATTTGCCAATATAATGTAAGTAATCTTGAATTTCTGTATTCTAAAAGTACTTTTATATTTTTTTACATAACATATTTCAGAAAAACTAATACCTGTAATTTAGGACTTGCTATATCTTCAAGCATAGTTCCCCCACGTATTAGCACTAAATTGAATGATCAAGCATTATAATTTTACTCAAATCATATAATAGACCTCACTTCATAAAAAGCCAAGGACAATACATCCATGAGTGTAATATATGTTACACATGCCAAAAATGCCTGAAAAAGCTTCAAAATGTAAAAAAAAAAAATTCTAAAGAAGTTCAATAGTTGGTTGGCCAATCTCTATGTATTGTGGCTTGCATTCTTGTTGTCAACTAACATTGTGATATATAGGATCTCTATTTCCTATAATCTAAAGAGAAAATATATGGATAATTTTTATTCAAACTTTCTGTGCTTTTGTTTCCTTGACAATACATTGAACAGAGGAGTATAAGTCCTTATGTTATATAAATCATGTAATGTGATAATCAACAATACAGAGAAATGCGGGCTTAACAATATATACAGAAATTACTGCCAGTTCCTACCTCTCTTCACACCATTTTGGCACACAAGTTCAGTATTTAAAACATTTGGAGAATTTTAAGAGAAAATGTAGATTGAAACATAGAAAGGAAGGAACTGTGCAAATTAGTAATAGTTTACTGGCTACTCTGACCTTGGGACCTACTGTGTAGGTTCCTTTTACAAAGTACATCTTCCCTAATAATGACTGAATTTAAAATTATTCTCATTTTGATCAGTTGCCTGAAATTCCTACAACTAGAAATTCATCTGTTTAATGGATATTTTCTTTGTTAAATGTCACTTGTCTCTTAGTCATTAATATAAAATATGTGAATTAATTTAATGAGATAACTTTCCTTTAACTTAGGTAGCTATACTAAGATAATGGAGGTCCTACTTTGGGGAAGGAAAAAGAAGTAAGACAATTTTGGAACAGAGAATCATTCTGGGGATAGAGTAAACCTTAATAATGGAGTACTGTTGTGAGATGCTCAAGTGGAATGGTATGAGAGGGTTAGAAAGCAAAGGAAAAGAGAAAATACAGAGGGCCAAGGACAAACTTTGCTTAGTCCAAGTGGTGATATTTCTAATGAGCCTTAGAGCCCAAGGTATGGGCTTTTTCTTTTATTCATTCATGAAGGGCTTATTTCTGCCAGGATACTAATCAATATTTAAAATTAAGTTTCTGTGTATAGTACTATTTTAACAAGCTGATTCAGTGGGAGAGACTTTGTAGACACCAAGCATCTGTTCTTAAGTTTGTGGGTTGCCTAACACAAGGAATCCCTTCCAACTAAAAAGAGGTACTATTGAAAATGATTTGCTGTGTTTACTAATGGCAATCAATTATAAAAACAATGTTTAAGCATTTCTTCATTTAACAAAATAGGCTAGTTTCATCTTTATGAAAAGGCTGAAACCATTGTTTTCTGCACATTACAGTCATCAGCACTGCATTCTAATTTGCTTGCAAAGTTTTCCTGAGTTTATTCACAGTAATATGTGGTTTAGGGAAACAGATTATTAGCCTATCTGAGCTTTAGGATGATAGATTGTTAAACCTCTATGAGTAAATCTTGTGTTTTCCTTTGAGAAATATTAGCTTAATATTTCCCTTCCAGAAAAATAATAAAAACTCAAAATTATGATATCAGTATGTACTATCAAAATCATTAACTAGAAAGAAAAACAATACAAAATAACGGTTCATGAATCCATTAGAAACCACAGTATCCTCAAGTCTTATAGAAATAATTTTCTTTAGGGCTCAACCATTTATAGACCCTTCATAAAAGCGTTCCATTTAAATCTGCATTTGTTGACTACAGAGTTCTAGCCAAAAAAGGACATGATTAGGCAGCCCTCTCTGAGCTCCTTCTACAAAATGAGGGTATAGTTTCAAACTTTTTTTATAGTACTTTGCACCCCCACTATTACTGCTAGACTAGCAGAAAACTTTCTTCACAATTATTATGAGCATGCTGCATGTTTTACGCATTATCAAAGCTCACTGGATAATAAGAAATTATGCTATTCATTGCTTATTTCTCATAGTTTTCCTTTCATGATGGTACTATATGACATGACTCTTTTGAGCAAATTAAATAAAAATTAATTAAGATAATCTACTTTTAAAAATCACTGATTATAGAAAACCTGGAGGTTATTTTGTGATCACTTTTCGTTTTCCAATTTTATGTCCCCTAATGTTATTACTTCAAAAGCATACGTGGAAATAGTATATGTCCTGAATAGTTCAATATCAAAATTATACTTGACTTTGATTTATGAATTCTGATAGGAAGAAGGCAAACAACACAAACAAGATGACAGGAGAAAAATAATTCAAAATATATGGACACAAATTGTTACATGCATGTAGTTTATGTAATGAAAAAAAAGAGGAAAGAAAATGCCACACTGGAAAATAAAAAGCCACAAAATATTATACCAGCCTATTTCTAAATAATGTTTTCATGTGTCACTATATGTTTTGTAATGTCTTTCAATTATTTCAAAAAGACACTTCAAAAGAATACATTAATTTATATATCACATTCAGGAAACAACTTTGTGCATGGAGTATAGATTACTTACATTATAAAGAGAATAAGTATAGGTTCTTTTATTAGATACCAAAGTTACATGTCTCCTAACCTAAACTATATACTCAGTAATCAACTCTTTGAAAATTAAGAAAAATAAAATCCACAGCAAATAGTACATATAGCACGCACAAGTAGCTTTCTTACATTCACTAGACAAAATTCATATTCTCCAGTTTATATTCATGAATTCTTTCTGTCAGTAATAGTAGTCATGGTATTTTCTTCAACAGCATAAAATGATTCTTTAAAATTTCAGCATTCAGAGAAAATAATATATATTACACAGTGGCTCTGAATCATAAATTTAATAGTAAGATGCTTTGGCCAGATTATATATAAATATGAATTTTTTAAATGTAGTCAAATTTTATGTAGATCATTAATATTACTTCCTATTTAAAATGTTAATTTATTTTCTTGAAGTATAATTATTATGTAGCAATGTCTAAAGTTTACTGAGATATATTATACTGTATCATATGTGCTAAGTGCACAAATACATTATAGTTAAACTTAACCCAAATAACCATAGGATTTCAGGTAAATTCATGTGTAACACTGTACTTCAAAGCACATGGATGTCAGAAAAAAACAACAGTGCAGCTCATGTATAAATGGTTAGAAAATGAGTAAATCCAATTGATTAACCTGAAAGTTAGCTTACATAATGCCAGAGAGTGTCAACATTATGTAGTTTATTTTCAAAATCTTAATTGTGGCATACTAAGAAGATTATAAGGCCAGTATAAACCCTTTGGCTAAACAGTTATTCACTCGTACTGCAATTCCTTTATATGTAAACTGTTAAAACCCTTATGTAAACCTCTCTAGATGTGGCCACTTATGATTAATATACAGAACTGCCAGCAAACATTATTGATTTAGCTCTTGTGGAAAAACTTTGGCACCAATCATATCAGAAATTTGTATTTTAGCACAAATGTATTTTGTTCTGGCACCAAAATACTATGACTACATTTTAGTAACTACAAAGAGTCAAATAAATTGAGTCCTTCGGTTGTGCATAACAAGATTCTATAATACAGTACTTGATTTTTTTTCTTAAGAAAAAAGTCTGTATTTCAGGACCTGATGTTAAAAAATACTGACATTGCTTGGCATTATGCTATAAGCATTTGGTTTATGGTAACCGAGTCCCCAAACAAATACTGTATAAAACAGAAAAACTAACAGAGTAACTTTATTTTAAATAAATTTTAGAAGCTAGTGTGCAGAGAAGACTTGTTAAGACCAATTATATGATTAAATAAAAACTTGGACACTACTGCAATACAACATAATATGAATATTATGGACCTGTGTATTTTTAAAAATCTTATTTGCCTTAAAACGGGGACTTAAATTGAATATTCAAGTAATGTGACAGAAAATAATGCCTTTGATATGAAATTAGGCAAAAAGCCACATGTTTAATTTTCTCTTCATCCAGGTTAGCTGAGGAACAATGCAAATCTTACAAGCCAGTTGATGTTCGCTTTTTCATGCACCGTCGCTGAGCTAGGCTCGAAGCAGCAACAGGCTCTAGGATTGGTTGAAAAGTCTCATGCATCAGGGCAGAATATGTGGCAACCACTGCTCCCTTAAATAATAAGAAAACAACCAAGTGAGTAACAGTCTCTGAAGTAAAAAACAAAAACAAAACTCCTTCTTTATGTCATGAGCCATGTTCCTAGAACAAAACTTTTCCATGGGAAAATAACAGTATATTAACAGTATTGACACAGCCTTGATAAATCAATACCTGATTATTGTCTATTTTTCACTTAACCATGTTTCTTACAAAAAATTCTTAAACAATAACATTTAAAATCTAGGTTCAGTGACTAGATACAGGAACTGGTATGAAAGGTTTTAAGGTAGTAGTAATTAAATAGAAATTTTTGTTTGCATCTGAAACTTAAAATTTAGTTCACTCCTAGCCAAGGTGTCAATCAAAAGAAAACCAACTAAAACTAAAATATTTTTACATTATAAGAAAGAGAGTAGTAAAGAAAGTGAAGAGGAGTACGTGACTGCTATTTCAAAGAAAACAAAAATTTTAAAAATATCTTTAAGAAATAAAGGTGCTTTAAGGAATTATTTAAGCACCATCAATGAAGATCATATGAAAACTTCATTAAGTGATAAGTATTTAGAAGTCACATACAAGTATGTTTGTTTTACCTTAACAACATGTGATGTGTCATTACTTTTTGGCTGATCATTCGGCAGCTGGTCTCTGTGGGCAATCCATGAGTGCTTTAATACTTGTTGAGTAGTGTACCGCTGATGTGGGTCCACATGAAGCATGTGAGACAGCAAATCCTAAATGAAAATGAATAATTTATAAGAAAATATGCAGCATTTCATATTTTCTTAAAATAAGAGAACATCAGTAACTTTGTAATATGTTTTCTTTGACTATATTTAGGAAAAACAAAATCTGTGCTCTGTAGTTATCTGTCAAAAAAGATAAGTAGAAACAGATTTTCTAATAGAGTAAATCCTTGTTCATTATTTTTAAATCAGGGAATGCCACATTTCTGGAACCAGGATATTGTTAGTGATAGAGGAGGAAAATATAAAGTGAGAGGAGTTACCCTGGGATAGGCTAAATAGTCAAGAGGAGAAAAGAGCTACTGGACTTTGCTGGTAAGCTGGGCCCTACACTATAAAGGCACAATATAGAAGGAAAGGTCCCATGTAGTTAATTATTCAAAATTTAGGGGCTTCTTGTATAGCATACTAAAGAAAACAAAACATAAATTCAAAGTTATCAACTGGTTTCTAACATTGTGGTGGTATGAACATCATGTTTTTTAAAAATCACAGTAGTTCTGAATATGCCGGTTCAATCTCTATTGTAATAAAAATGTTGTGAATGTAACATATCCTCATAATAAACCACAATTTTAAATATATTACATTATGCAATACCTTTAAATAAACTATGCCTACTCTCTTTTAGAAAAAATAAACTTTCCTTAAGAAGTATTTTTAATATGAAAACAAAATTATCATTGCAAATTTTTCATAAATATCAAAAGCACTGAAATATAATATTAAATCATAATATCAAATTCTAAATAATAACATAATTGTTTGAAACTATGTAAGGGAGCAGGACAAACACAACAATCTATTGGGAAAATGACAGATATGCAGAAGTAAATGTAAAATTAATAATAAACATAAAATAATGGATTATTTCAATAAAACAGACCTAAATGCCAATCATAAAAATTAAAAATAGAACTACCACATGGTTTATCAATCCCACTATTGTGTACATATATATATATACAAAGGAAATGAGATCAGTATCTCAAAAAGACATCTGCAATTCCAAGTTGATTGAAGCATTAGTCAAGTAATAGAACCACTTAAGTGTTCATTAGCTAATAAATAGGTAAAAGAAAATCTGGTACATACACAATAGAATAGTATTCAGCCATAAAAACAATGAAATCCTGCCACATGTGACAACATGGATGAAACTGGAGGACACTATGTTAAGTAAGCCAAGAACTGAAAGAAATTATCACATGATCTTACTCATTACATAGAATTTTGAAAAGTCAATCTCACAGAAATTGAAAGTAAAATGGTGTTATGAGAGGCTGGGGAATGAACAGAGGTGAGAGGGAGGGTTGGAAAATGGGTGATCAGTGGGTAATAATTTACAGCAGCAAAAACTTCTACCATAGAGAGGATGCACGCTACATTTCAAAAGACAAGAAGAAATGATTTTCAAAGTTTTCTCCAGAAAAACAGTACATATTTGAGATATTTACCCTCATTTAAACACTGCACAATGTATACGTGTATTGAAACATCACACTGTATTACATTAATAGGTACAATTTTTATGTGACAGTTAAATAAAAAACTGCACCACAACAAGATAAATTTCAATACTCCACTGCTTCCTGCCAAGATGGAGTACCAGGGATTAGATTGTCCTAACCACCCAAACCTGAAACCAAACACCAAAAACCAAAACCAAAAATCAGCAAACATAATGAAACAATAATTTTGAGGAAATTAGGTCATATTAGTCATGGAGGAGATGACTCCTAAGAAATGGGAAGCAAATCAGGTAAACAATACGACTCCCCTATCTTATCACCTCTAGAGAGGTTTCACACTACTGTGCAGGTAAGGGAAACACAGAGCCTGTGGGTTTGAGGTGCGGAGACAGAACTAAGAAGAACTCAAGGCAGATGGAGTTAGCAGGACAGAGTAAGAGAGAGGTAAGAGGAGCAAAGAAAGAAAGAATTATGTTCTGTAGAGGATTACTCTCAAGTATTCAAATTACTACTAATAAATACATGTTTGAGAAAGCAAGGGAAGGCCTTGAGAAGAACTATCCAAAGTGACTGGAGAGAAATTTGAACTAATAATACAGGGTAGGTCTTATAAATTTGTATGAATAATGTACCAATTCAAACAGTATTTAGTTTCAAGTTGGAAAGGCAAAATTCAGAGAAAATACATTATCATGACCCTTTGATTATAAATGTTGAAAAATGCTACTTTTAAATTTTTATATATAATTTATTTGTGTAGTTTACAAAATGTTTGAATAAAAATGTTACCCTGAAAACAGAAGAAATCACGTAGGGTGAAGAATACTATGTTTTCACTAGCTGGTCTGAAAAACCTCATAATTCATAAAGTATTTGACAGATTATTTGGAAGGATCATGCCTGAATTTTAAGTAGCCGCAGAATAAACACTGTTCTAGTCTTGCTTTAAAAATCTTAAAATAAGACTTAGAATAAAGCTCAAGAATATTAAATAGGAATACAAATATACAGTACTCACCAAGATAAAAATCAATATGCCTGCCATCTTACCTAAATAGTAGGTGTTCAAAAACTGCAGAAAAGTATGATAAGAAAAACTGAAAGTCAATCAAAACTGACTTAGAACTGAGATATTAGAATTAGTAGACAAGGACATTAAAATACATATTAAAACTTTATTCCAGAGGTTCAAAAGTTAAATAGAGACAGAGAAGACAGAAAAAGACCCACACCAAAAATGTAGAAATGAAAATTAAAATGTAAGATTAAAAATCAATATAACAGAGTATTTAGGAGAAAAAGATTGTGAAGATAGAATAGAATCAGAGTATGAAACAAGCAAAAACACAGAGCACCAGTTAGCTGTGGGAGAACTTCAGGTTGACTAGAATATATGTACAATTGGAGCCCTAGAAGAAAAGAGGGCCAGATAAAATAATTGAAAAAATAATAATCCAAAATTTGGTGAAAATCTGAATCCAAAAAGCTCACTGAAGCCCAAATATAAGAAAAACAAAGAAAATTGCATAAAGGCTAATCAAAACCAAATTGTTCAAAAACCCACCATATAGAGAAAATCTTATAAGTAACAAAAAGGGGGAAAAGAATATTACACATAGTGAAACAAAAATAAGAATAAAAATGGATTTATTGATCCAGCCCGTGCCAGCCAGGCACATCCGTGGATATCAGAGAGAGGTCCCCGGTCACAAGGAAACCGCCCCATCCAGCCCGCACCCGGCAGTGATCCACTAGACCCCCCCCCCCACTCCTCTGGCCTCTGGTTGTACTGCCACCTGGCTCCACACTACAAAGGCACAGGGAACATTGGACCACCAGACCACCATACTGGGTAAGTTGGAGGGATCATCACCTACCATCGGAACCGGGACTATCTTCAGGGGAAGGACAACTGGAACCTGCAGTACAACACTGCAGACTTCAACCCTACAGGAGGATAGGGAGCTCAACTTGGGACCTGCAGCCAGAAATCTGCCTGAATCTCACGAGTCTGTGACTGGCTTTCTGAGACTCATTGACTTATATCTGCACACTGCTACTCACGTTGTCTATTGTGGCAGCAGAATAATACCCTGAAGGAGGTACTTCATTTTCATTTTCATTTTTTTATTTCCAAAATTAGTATTATTGGGTTTTTTCTCATCTTTAACTTTTTTTTCCTATTCTTTGTGAATTTTTGTTTTTCTCTCCTTTTTTTTCCTCTTTCTTTTCTCTTTCCTTTCTTTCTCTCTCTTACACTCACTCTCTTGCTGTCCCACTTTGCTCATCTCCCTTTCTGTTCCTGTTCTGGCCCTCACTCGGATTTCTTCTTTATTTTTCTATTATTCTCTTTGTCCTTCTCTCACCTGTGTCCTCTGGCCTCACCACTGCTAACCTTCACCTATCCTTCTACCTATCTATCCCTTCCTCCCCAACTCCTAACTCCCCATTCCGAAGGGTAAAGTTGTTATACTGAAGAGTTTATTCACTATAAACATATGTTGGGTTGATCCTCGATTTTGATTTAATTCACACTGTTAAAGGTGATAGATTAATAACTACCACAAAATGTCATTTAGTAAAATATACTTCATACTATGGTGTTGCTGATTGTATCACTTCAGCTAAGGTGTTGTTATTGATCTAGTTAGAGGCCCTACCTGGTATAATGAAAATGAGATAGCCTCAGAGTCATTAGAGACTCAAAACTTAAAGACCAGCTATATCTGGAAGACACCTCTGAGAAGCAATCATTCCATAAGTGTTCTAATTGCAAGCAACAAAGATACTTACAATAAGCAATTTTAAAGTATCAACCCAGGAGTTAAACCAAGGAAAGTACCAAAAACAAAAATGAGAAGACATTTAAGGAAAGCACAAACTCAGACTTCCATCCCACCAAGAGTAAACCTCAGGGGGATCCAAGGTGGAAAAGTCCGATAATCAACCACCTGGACATCCTGAACTCATTGCACAGTAAGTAACAAAACAGATGAATGAGGCTCTAGAAAAATTCAAAGCAGAAATAATCTCCCAGATATCTACAGAGATGGTGAGCAGAGTGAAAGACATGATTAGAGGCTCTAGAACAGAAACAGATAAGAAAATAGATGAGCTCAGAAACATGCTGGAAGCCATGAATAGCCAGCATAAGAAAGAAATGGAAACCACGGAACAGATTCAAACAGATATTCAGGAGATTAAAAACTCCATTGAAAGTATCCACAGAAGATTAAGGGAATCTGAAAATAGAATATCAGATATAGAAGACAGGATCACAGTTAAGGACAATGAAAACAGAAATTTCTTAAAACTAGTAAGAGACCACGAGAAATCAATACAGCAGCTGATAGATGATGCAAAGAAGAATAGCATAAGACTGATAGGAGTCAAAGAAAAAACAGGAGAAAGTACAATTGACGTAAAAAAACCTGTTCACAGAAGTAATAGTAGAAAACTTCCCAGATAGAGGAGGAGAATTGGATATACAGATAGGTGAGGCATATAGAACTCCAA